TTTAACGTAATAAATGTTATTTTTATCAGTAATCATGCGATTGTGATGGCAAGATTGATAACTAACGGACAAGACAAGGGCCCACACCCGTTTATTGTGCAGATTCGAGATATGACAACTCATGAACCTTTGCCAGGAATCACTATTGGTGATATTGGTCCAAAGTTTGGGTAAACTATTGTTAAATTTATCTGTTCACGGTTTTCGAATTTCCCTACTAGTACATATTTGTAATATATAAAAATTTTAGATTTAATGCAACAGACAACGGTTTCATGCTATTCGATCATGTGCGAATTCCAAGATTCAATATGCTTTCCAAATATTCACAAGTCATTAAAGGTACTGGTGAATACGTAAATCCACCAAATGAAAAATTATCATATGGCACCATGGTATATGTACGTAAAATGATTATAATAAGTGCAGGGTTAGCTCTTGCACGTGCTGCTACTATTTCTATTCGGTATTCTGCTGTAAGAAGACAGTTTGTTGATAAAGATAATCCAATGATATTGTCGAATGGGTTAATATTTAATTAATATTATTTTTTTACTCTTCAATTTTATTTTTTTCTAAATCATCTATGTTTAATTGAATATCGATAGCCAAGTAGTAGAAACAGCTGTTCTAGACTATACAATGCAACAATACAGACTATTTCCCGTGATTGCGCAAGCCTACGCTGTTTATTTCACTGGAGAAGTTATTGCTAACTTATTTAAGCAATATACTAAACAAAGTTCACGCGGTGATTTTTCATTGCTCGCAGATTTACACGCATCCACCAGTGGTCTTAAATCACTAACCACTACAATAACTGTGGATTCTATTGAGGATTGTCGAAGAGCATGCGGTGGTCATGGATATTCAAGCTTCAGTGGATTTGCAATGTTCTATCAAAATTATTTACCCAATACTACTTGGGAAGGTGATAATTATATCTTGACCCAACAAACCGCGCGTTATGTAAGTTGAAATAAATTTAATTATTTATATATTTTATCAATCAATATAATTCACCTTCAAGTACATAAGAATATTAATCTTATCATAATAATAGCTTTTTAAAACATATCGTGAAATCATTCACAGCAAACAACAAAGTGAAGAATTTTCTTTACACTCAAACACAAACCCAACGGTCTCTTATTTGCTTCGATACTTAAACAACCCAACTCAGAAATGTACCGTCACTTCACCTTCTGATTTTCAAAATCCTGAAGTCCAAGTTGCAATCTATGGTTATCGAGCAGCCTATTTAATCGCTCGAGCAGTAGATCAAATAGACAACCACAAAAAAAATTGGAATTCAATGCTTGTAGAAATCAATCGAATTTCACGTGCTCATTGTCAATATATATTAGTTCAAAACTTTATACTCACTTTACAACCTCAAACATCAGGTTCAATTGATGAAAAAAGACGTATTTTACATAATAGTCCAAGTTTAAAAACAGTTTTAACTTCAGTTTGTAATTTATTTGCATTACATACTATGGAAAAAGATCTTTCTGATTTTTTAGAATCTGAATATTTATCACCGAAACAAGCAGAAATGTTAAGAGTTCAAGTTTCCGAATTATTAAATGAAATTAGGCCAAATGCTGTTGCATTAGTTGATGCTTTTAATTTACCTGATTATTTATTAAATTCAGCATTAGGAAGGTATGATGGAAAAGTTTATGAAACTATGATTGAATGGGCATCTAAAGAACCGTTGAATGGTGTCACACCAGATATTAATCCTTATAGTGAAATTTTGTTTAGAAATGATGTCAAAGCTAAAATTTGATTTTTAAATTCAATCTAATCTTTTTCATATTATTATGACCAATTGTTAGTGTTTATGATAGTATTTTATGATAGTATTTATGATAGAATTTTTAGTATTTATGATAATATTTATGTTATTTATGATTATGAATATTTTTTATTGTTAACTTTGGTTAACAATTTTCCAGAAATACAAAGGCATTATACATGTTTGTATTATAAATTAACATTCTTAAAAGCGTTATTAAAATTTATAGGTTTCCCGATACAAAATACAATGCCTGAGTATTTTCTGACACGAAGTGTAAATTTGTTGTGTATTGAATGATTATCATAGATTTGTTATTCGCAATTATAATATACGCGATTATTTAGTATTTTCGATTGATAGTATTTAGGGTAACGGTGAATTAATAATTGCTGAATTGCGCCACTTCAACACCAATAACGATAATGATAAAATTTATTTCTACCAGCATCTACTCCTGTAAAAAGATGATCGAATGTTCTTGATTAAATTCGAATGATATCCAGATCCAAATACGAGAATAAAATGCTGTTCTGTAATGTTGTAATGTACTTCTTGAATGTGTGCTTGTGGCACATTAATCAGCCGAAGTAATTTGCGCCAGTACTGTACGAATTACAATAAAATTAGAAAAAGTGAAGATTGTGAAAGTGAAATCGAAAAGGATTTATAAATACCAACCAGACATTCAATCATTATTAAAAATCGTCAGGGATGGGAATCTGAAGGGACATTTTTTGCTTCTGTACCGAGGATCTTTAACATCTGTATTATGATAGTTACACACGTAAGTATGGAAATTAATTTACAAGAGCATATCATTTTCTAAGAAAGATGTATAGATAATTCCTCTTTACCGGAACGGAACTAGCAGACCTTAGAATCCACCTCTTATATTAAAAATAACCTCTCACAGCAAGGTATGCACATATCCGTTCCCTGTTCCTCTTCTAATTCTTTGTTGTTGTCATATTTGTTGTCCTTGTTGTATTTGCTGTTTTTGCAGTTCTTATAGTAGCCATGGCAAAAAAAAGTTCAGGGCACGTGATATGAATAGCCAATCAAAACAGTGTTGGCCGATGATGTCATTTAAATGACATGACTTATATGACTGTCATATTGTCATATATTAATAATGTTACGGGGTGAATTGTATAGTTTTATTAATTTATATTCAAAAAGATGTAATTTAGGTGATAAGGCAACTCGCCAGAGGCGTGACGTTGGTGATTTGACAATAATTTGTTTTATTAAAAGAGATT